TCTGTGACATTAATGCAACCAAACATATTTTTTTTACATGGAAAGATGTTTAATATTACATGGTACAAAACTGTGTCAACTATTGGCATCACGTTCTGTATGTAAGTGAAGGGTCCAACCACGTGACAGCGACTTGAAAGAAAGATTTCTTTCCTTTGTTTGTTTATTTATTTTTTTTGCCATCCGCATTTCTCGTTTTTTTTTCTTCTTACTTTTTTTGTTATCCGACTTTTTTTCCATCCGCGTTTTCCCATCCGCATCCGCCATCCGCAGGTATCCAGTCCGCGTTTTACAGACACCCAGTTTACTATCGGTGAATTACGAACAATTTCTTGTATGTCTAAATGTCGCGGGTCGCGACTCGCGGGTGCGGGTGCAGGTAAAGGTCGCGGGTGCGGGTAAGTGTCGCGGGTAAAAATAAATCACGAAATTTAACAGAAAGATAAAATGAACAACAAAAAAAATTTTTTTTAAAAATTTTTTAAAGAAGACTAGTTACAGGGGCGGATCTAGGGGGAGGGTGCAGCCCCCAAGACGACCTGCGGTTTTCTAATACAACTGGTATTCTGTCAAAAAAAAAACTATGTGGTTTATTGGTGTTGAAGTAGAGCAAGAGACGAGTGCACCCCCTGCTAAAAAAAATCCTGGATCCGCCCCTGAGTTAGCAACACAAAGGAAGTTGCACGCTTTTTCGTTTATCTCCGACACGTTTCGTCTCCTACTGAGACTTCTTCAAGGAATGAATACAACCGACAAGGAACAGCATATATAACACGTTTTCTGCTTAAGTAAAACTTCCGATAGGAGTCTGAATAATAACTTAACTATGCTGTAAACGGACATTATAAGAAACGCCTTAACACATATCTTATTGCGTGTTGTTATATTTTGAGGGCCATACGATCAGCGCTAATCGTATGGCCCCCAAAAGCTCAACGAAACTATCGGACTCCATCAGGATAAAGAATCGATCGAAGTAAACCTGCAAATGTTCTTCCTTGTTGTCAGTGTGATATCAGAACTATGAAAGTTTTACCCACTTGCACGAGTATTGTTGCCGTGATCAAGCCGCCATCAGTAACGTGGGAAAAATTCTATTTACCAGGATGGCAAATTCTTTCGTGCTACGGCCCCAAAACTGAGCACGAACGACGAATAACAACTCTCAATTCATACTTTTTGCTGAGGAATTAAGTACACCCAAGTCTCATTTAGTGCAAAAAAAAAGTCAAAGGTATATTTTCGATGAAGTGAATTGTGTCTTCTGAATCATACATACATAGGGTAAAAATCATTTCTTTTAAGTGGACAAGTCACATAAGCTGACACTGCGGACCCCTACACTGCTGAATAAAGAAGGGTTCAAGAATGTCGTTCAAGGGGAGGGAAGAATTCTTACTTCAAAGAAGTAGGCACCTTTGTAAGATCTTGCTGGAGGTCGTAATCATTTCTTTTTATTTAATTTCAAGAGCTCGTAGTTGAAAAACAAAAAAAAGTTCTAATTGAAGTATTATAAGGTCTTCTTAAATGTAATAGCTATTTCTAACTCTTTCCCGTCTAATCTATCACTGCGCTACACCCTGGTTTCACTTGCCTTTTTCAGGTCTCGGGGCGGGGAGGGGGGGTCTTGACGAAATTTTGATTTTTCCATTTTTCCTCAAAAATGAAGATAGAAATATACTAGGCATGGAGGAAACAAGATTTAAGACTGATCACTCGCAACATGGTAATGATAAAAAAACCTACTGGGCGATTACCCATTTATGCGACCAAAATTAATTTTATTTGTCTTGATTTTGCAGAAAAAAGAAAAAAAGAAGTATTAGTTAAAGTTAGTTTTTCAGTCCGATAGGGTTACGGCTGTTTAAGGCGGGCACTGAATTTTTACACTCCCTTTTCAATACACTTTGCTGCTACATATAGGTAATATAGAGGTCAGCAAAGGGCCAACTACTTTTTTGTAATATTACAAATTAGTACCCTAAACCCTTGGGCGTACAAGGTAGGGGAGTGGGTGAAATCCCCGGAAGGTTTTTTGAATCAACCACCAAGACAAGTCATCACATATCCACTAATACTGTTCTTTTCTCTATCAGAACTTTAACCTCCTCCCCAACAAATCCCAAACGCATGTAGCTCGGTTACTTAGTGCAATTTTACCTAGCCAATGTCATGTAGTTTTAATCATGTGGATTTTTCTTTAGTGACTTTTTCCTTTGTATCGCCCTTAGTTAGCTTTAAAGAATTGCAAATCTTCTTTGAAAGATAATCAAATTTTCCTTTAATTTATTAACAGTTTAATGTTAAATTTGGTGATTTATGTTTACCCGCGACCTCTACCCGCGAGTCGCGACCCGCGACATTTAGACATACTCAACAATTTCCCATGCAAATGAAATACAAGCACAGCAGGTGCAAAACCTCGCCCAGGAAGATTTTCCACCAAAACTCCTCTGGAACGAGAACGCCGACTTCAAATTTAGCGTGAACAACGAAGGAGAAGACGTCAACAAGAAACCTCGGAGCAGAGAGAACATCGCCCAGCACAGCGCTAGCGACGGCAACGCCACCAACAAGAGACAGAGGAACAGATTGGAATCAGAGGCATTATGATCATTTTACACTGTGGAAAACCCAGATTTCTTAGTTTGCCGGTTTCCCCGCCGATATATAGATCAACGTCTGCAAAGCTTCAGTTCAGTATTACGGCCCGAAGTACAATAATTTTCAGGCGTACTGCACTGCCATATTTGTTCTTTGTTTTTACTTTTTTCTAAATCCGGACGCCGAAATAATGCTAAATCTGCTTCTCACTACACTGTTAACAGTAACACCACACAATACGCAAAAAAGGAGAAGAAAAGAGAGAACAACGTATGGACCTTTACGACGATATTCGCGGTTGGTCACCCATCCAGTTCTTAACCCCAACCGACAGGGCTTAACTTGAGTTCCGTTACCAAACCGAGTTTCGCGACGGTTATTGCGAGATACGTATTTCTAGTTTATTAGGGCAAAACCTTGCCAGAATAAAGACAGTTTTCGATCATTGAAAGTCATCTAAGTAAATATTCACTTGCGAGTTAAAACAGCATGGCTTAACAGGGTCGTAAACGAGAGCAATAATGCGTGAAATGACCATGGAAACATTTTACATTATCAATCAGATACCAAAGATTAACAGGGCTCATTAAGACGACCTTGGATGAGCTGCAGCTTGAAATTCAGGTCGTTGAAAATCTCCCTCGAAACCCTCGAACGCTCTTTCCACCGCCGAGAGAAGATAGAAATTAGGCGCGAAGCATCATGGGATATATGAAATTCCCCCCTTTGTTCTGGCATGGAGGTATTAATCCAATATTCAAGCTGCAAAATAAGAGAAAATTATCCTCCATCACGTTGTTACTAGTAACCCTTAAGGTGGCTCGATACAGTTTTTCAGGGTCAATACCTCCCAAGTTTGAGCATAAACTACGTCGCCAAAAACAAAGTTTTGGAAAAATTGCCACCACAGTTGTATTAGATAAAGATGAAAATTTGTTATGATCAGGGTTGCAACAGCATCGGAGTTGTCATAGCAACGAAATGACGCTATTACCTATTTTACTTGCAGCAGTATATCACGGCACTGGGAACTGTTCTTCAAAGATCATTCACGGGAGGTTTTTCCTTCAATAGCAGCCTCGATGTTCGTGAAGTTTAAGCGAAATCTGTAAGAGCGTTATCGAGATATTTTGGGATAAAGTTTTTATTGTTAGAAACACAGTAAAAAATGGACAATATTGTTGTTTGGTCGTTTTCTGTAGAAAATGAAGCGCTTTCGACAAGAAATTTCACCTCATAGTAGTTTCAATCATTTTAAAAGCGTGTGTGAAAGATCATGGGAGATAGCTCCAGCCGATTGCTAGGAAGAAGGGTTTGATTAGTATGTATCGAAGCGCTCTTGTTAGCGGTTTTGTAAACATTTTGGTCTTCTTTAACAAATTAGCGAATAATTTTTAAACCGCTCGATAGATTTTTTAAAAAATTTAAGATTCTTGAGATTAACCTTCCTTTTATATGACCTTTTAGTTTCAAGATTATTGATATATTGTAAGGCAGTAAAATAAGGGCTACAATTCGTTACTTTTTTATCGGAAGTTTCGTCATTACAAATGAAAGCCTCTAATTATTCAAGGCATTGTCTCCAAGTTTCATTTTCACGTGAACAGCAGTAACTAACAATGCATTTGAAATATGCAAAAATGCTAGCTATTGTTGTGCACGAAAATATGAAACTTGGACACAATACCCTGAATAATGAGAGGCTCACACTTGTAAACACAAACTTTCTGCCAAAATATTAGCGAATTGTAGCCCTTATTATACTGCCTTACAATATATCAATAATCTTGAAACTAAAATGCCATATAAAAGGAAGGTAAATCTCAAGAATCTTAAATTTTAAAAAAAATCTATCGAGCGGTTTAAAAATTATTCACTAATTCGTTAAAGTAGACCAAAATGTTAAAAAAACCGCTAACAAGAGCGCCTTGGTACATACTAGTCAAATCCTTCTTTCTAGCAATCGGCTGGAGCTATCTCCTTGATCATTAACACACGTTTTTAAAGAGATTGAAACTACTATGAGGTGAGATTTCATGTCGAAAGCGCTTCATTTTCTACACATAACGGCCAAACACCAAGATTGTCCATTTTTTACAATATTTCTAACCACAAAATCTTCATCCCAAAATATTTCGATAACGCTCTTACAGATTTCGCTTAAACTTCACGAACATCGAGGCTGCTATTGGAGGAAAAAGCTCCCGTGAATGATTTTCAAAGAACAGTTCCCAGTGCCGAGATATACTGATGCAAGTAAAATAGGTAATAGCGTCATTTCGTTGCTATGACAACTCCGATGCCGTTGCAACCCTGATCATAACAAATATTCATCTTCATCTAATACAACTGTGGTGGCAATTTTTCCAAAACTTTGTTTATGGCGACGTAGTTTATGCTCAAACTTGGGGAGTATTGACCCTGAAAAACTGTATCGAGCCACCTTAAGAATAGTCTTGTCAAATGCCGCCCTCCAGCAAGAAAAGTTTAAAATGTTACAGAACTTTGCGGAAAAATCTTAAGGTGACTTGACCCCGGTTTTTTTTTTTTTTTTGGGGGGGGGGGGGAGCTACCATCCTACTTTGAAGCTCTCTGGTATCCCCACCTTTACTTTTATCGTAAGTCTAACACATAAAATGGATAACATATAGATCAATCTACAACAAAACATAAAATTTTGGGCGATCGGAGTAAATGTCACGCCCCCTTGAGGTTTGAGTCGAAAATCTGCTGTTGCCAGCATTTTTTCGTGAAAATCTCTCGACTACACATAGTGCGCATTAGTGCCTTGCGCTGAACAGAGTTTCACCAAAATCGCAAAGACCCAATTCGAGAAATTCAACGGTTTCCAAATTTAGGTCATAATTTATGCGAAAATGATAAGCAAACTTTACACGATTATATCTAATAAACTATGAGACTGATCACTTTATTTTGGGCATCGTTATAACAGATGGGTCCTTGCAAGTCAGCAAAAAGCTTTAGGGCCTTGTAAATGCGCGCGATTTCGAGCAAAGGAAACATATAGAAATTATAGTTTTCGCTATTTGTTGACCTTTGTCAGCGTTTAAGAGTCCTTCTCACGAAAAAAGCATTTTCTTAAAAATTCGTGGTTTTTTTTCCTTCAAATTTTTTCAAGGCCAAAATTGATTAAGTAACTACCCGGACTCTGAATTTCATGGTCATTGAACAACTGGGACATTATCTTCTATATGCCCAAACTTGAGTAAACATTGAAGATTTTTAACGTTTTCGCTGAGTTTGTGCTTTGGGAGTTGTCTATTGTTTCTAGTCTGTCATTATACAGCATTCTTGTTCAGCACGCGTGCCATGACCGCGCTTGGCTGACTTCCGAATGCTCACCGAGATATGATAATTTTGGAACGGTGAGACAGGCCATCGCGTGATACATAGAGGTCTAACTCACAATTTTTAATCAATTCTCGTGCAGCTTGTGCCTTTGCAAAAAAATCAAGAAGTGCTACACACCAAATCTACTTACTATTAAAAAAATATCATTTATTCATAGGTTTAATGCAAGCCAATAATTAAACCAACTTGTGACGGGAATCCCTTCTATTTTCTCATACTAAATTATCATATCTCGGTGAGCATTCGGAAGTCAGCCAAGCGTGGTAATTGCACAAGTGCTGAACAAGAATGCTGTATAATGACAGACTAGAAACAATAGACAACTCCCAAAGCACAAACTCAGCCAAAACGCTAAAAATCTTCAATGTTTACTCAAGTTTGGGCATATAGAAGATAATGTCCCAGTTTTTCAATGACCATGAAATTCAGAGTCCGGGTAGTTACTTAATCAATTGTGGCCCTGAAAAAATTTGAAGGAAAAAAAACCACGAATTTTTAAGAAAATGCTTTTTTCGTGAGAAGGACTCTTAAACGCTGACAAACGTCAACAAATAGCGAAAACTATAATTTCTATATGTTTGCTTTGCTCGAAATCGCGCGCATTTACAAGGCCCTAAAGCTTTTTGCTGACTTGCAAGGACCCATCTGTTATAACGATCCCAATAAAGTGATCAATCTCATAGTTTATTAGATATAATCGTGTAAAGTTTGCTTATCATTTTCGCATAAATTATGACCTAAATTTGGAAACCGCTGAATTTCTCGAATTGGGTCTTTGCGATTTTGGTGAAACTCTGTTCAGCGCAAGGCACTAATGCGCACTAAGTGTAGCCGAGAGATTGTCACGAAAAAATGCCGGTAACAGCAGATTTTCGACAACCTCGTCCCCAGGGCTTTTCCCTTAAAAAATGGGTGGGGCGGGAAAAGGCCCTGGCATCGGCTGGTCACGTGTCCCCTCGTACACCCTAAAATCCTGGGTGTAATAAATTAGCGCTATGTGAAAAGCTAAAATTATGCGTAACCTCACAGCGCGCGATCTTGGGTGGCCTTTTATATCTCTTGACGATTAACGAAAAGTTTTACAAGATTTCTTTTTTGTCACAGATACTGGCTATGGTAATTTTTTGCTTTCCTCCGATTTCTATGAAGGGGACAGCGAGCGGTAACATTTGTAAAACTTCCTTTATAGAGCGATATAAATGACAAACAAGCTATCGTACATGCATAAAGTTTGTACTGCAAAAGTCCGTTTTCTCGACTCTTTTGATATTTTATTTTATTTCTTGCGAAGTGGACCGCCGTACACAACCTAGTTCTATTCAACTTAACTATCAGCCATATCATAGCGTCACGCGTTGGTTTAGACTTATCTTGTATGACCTGTCTTTTTAAAAATTCATTGACCTCTGCGAGACTTGACCGAAACCGGAAACCGCGCATGAAAAGTTTCTGGCACCCAGGGTATCAAACGACTGGTAACAAAGAAAGACTTGGGTCCATTTAAAATTGACAGAGCTGTAGTTGATTCCAATCGATCGGTCAATCTTCCCTTTGATATAAGGAAAATCCTTTGTACTTATCCTCGGAAGAGAAAAGATATAAGAGATCTTAAAATGTTTCAGATCGGCGACCTGTCATCGTTCCTGGCTGGAGGGCTGACTTGCATCCGGCGCGGAGATTTGTTTGTTTCATGGTCGGGTTGTAGAGAAGACCAGACTCCATCATAAAGTATTTTGATGAACAATTCTATTTCAATTAAGTCCAATTTGTTTAAATTCACTGCAGATCCTAGAGGCAAAGGCCCGCATTTTTGTTTGACATTGGCCAAAATCACTTTCTGCTTGATCGTACAGTAATTCCACAGTCACGATGAATTTCAGTCGAAGTACTACTCGATAACAGCTTGTCTCAACTGTGAAGCATTTGACATATTTTGTACGTGACAACGTAGAGCCGGTTCTTGTAGCATTTGAATAATACGCAATTAAATGGATCTTAAGCTTTTGAATCGCACAGACGCGAAAATATTGACATACAGTTCGCGATATTATTATTTTCCATTGTTGCTCCGTTCGACTTCTGTCAGCGCAAAACCAGCGGGTTGCATATAAATTAGCTTCTCAGGAATATTTAGGCTGTGCACGTGACCAGCCGATGCCAGGGCCTTTTCCCGCCCCACCCATTTAAGGGAAAAGCCCTGGGGACGAGGTTGGATTTTCGACTCAGACCTCAAAGGGGCGTGGCATTATAACCACGTGACATTTACTCCGATCGCCAAACATTTTATGTTCTATTGTAGATTGATCTATCTGTTATCCATTTTATGTGTTAGACTTACGATAAAAGTAAAGGTGGGGATACCAGGGAGCTTCAAAGTAGGATGGTACCCCCCCAAAAAACTGGGTCGAGTCACCTTAAGAGGTCGCACTTTCAGTGCTATGATAAAAAACAAGTGCAATAAATTTGGCGTCGGGGATCTTTAGCAGAACAGCCTCCGAACGCCTAAGTGCTTTAAACATTAGTGATTAGGAATACGAAACTGGGAACGTCATGCTCCAGATCCAGATCATCATGCAGGCCAAACTGAATCCTAGTCCTGATCACTTAAACTTCACTTTCTTGTTTTGTTACGGTTTGTTGACTCCGAAGTTATTCCTTAAAATTAGCATTTCTGTGGTTCGCTGTTTCTTCGTTATTTTTTTTCTCGCAGCCTCTTTAGTGTTATTTTAGCCTCCCCTCCAATAACCCGTGCGAAATGTCTCAAGAAAATCCTGGAATTTCTCGACTATTCCCGATAATCATTCTCGGGAATTCCCGGAAAATTCTTTCGCGTTAATTGGCACCAAGACCAACAATTCTCGGGAATTCTCTGGAATTTCCAAGAATTGACAGAATTTACCAGTACATCAGTTATCACAAGAACCGTAAGTCTTATTCCAGCAGTATAACTGTGAAGGGTGCAAGGCTTAAATTGAACTTTCGCTATCTTTAAAGCGGGTGCGAGGCGTTAGATCGATTCAGAAATACATTGTCAGTACTCTTTGAAATAGGGTAAACCCAAATTTCAAGCGAATGCTTTAACCAGGTGTTTAACATGTCAGTTACAAATAATACTAAAAAATAATATTTATTGCCCTACTGACAATTGATTAGACACAAACCTCACATTTGATAGCCATTGCTGTCAATGAATGTAACTCCGTGTATAAACTGCTTGACTTCCATTTGCTGATCCGTTTTGCTACGGGCTGCTTAACTCAGTTATTCGAACAAGGATAGTCTAACTGGACTCACACATCGACGGAATCGAGGTGATACGGATATTGCAGCAATTTTCAAGGTAACAGACACAGACGCTGTAAGGATTTCTTATAAGGTATCGTATTCCAACAGTATGTCGAGCGTAGGTGATCGGATCGAATAAAACGTAGAATTCACACTGAATTCACGGTTGTTGCAGTTTGACCTACAAGCAAATCATATGGAGGGAAACAAGGAAAAAGATTTACAGAGGTAAACGGAGGTTCCGGATGAAGAAAAGCATTGCAGTTGGCGCGAAATCGATATGGACCTCGATACAATCTGGTAGTCACCTTGTGCGATATCGCCGCTGACCGGTATATTGACTCAAGAAATTTTTAGTGGACGTGCGAAAACGGATTCCTACAAAAAAGGGTCGTAGACAATATGAGATTCAAAAGTAGAAGGAAAATCGGAAAACTGCACGTTCTAATTTAACTAAGCAGTGGAGTGTTGTTGAATCTTTTGATGATCTAAATGATGCCGTTTCTTCTTGAAACACTCTCTTCCTCGATGTTACTAATCGTCACACACCTATAAAGAAGCTAAGAATGAAAGGTACAATAAAGCCGTGGATGACAAAGAAACTGAAGGAAATGATGGAGAGAGCGACTATGCGTTGAAGATTGTTGAACGATCTGGAGGTGAACAAGAGGAATGGGACAATTATCTCAGGTTAAAAAACTTAACGAATAGGAAAATCAAGGCGGCTGAAGCTTCGTATTACAAGAATCTGATAGAATCTGCCCAGGGTCCGAAAGAGCTGTGGCCCTCACTGAATTCAGTTTTGGGTAATGGAAAGAACATTTCTAGTGCAAGACGGAATATCATATTAGAACCCAAGGCCGTCGCCTCTAAAATAAACAAGCTCTCTGCAACCATTGGGTGTCGCATCGCCAAAAAATTACGCTCTGTACCGAGGGATGCCTGAAAGAAGTACGAATCTGTTATCCAAGGCGATGGTGTAGATCAATGCGTCAGTTCTAAGGCTGTTTCTAAGATCTTGCATTCGTTGAGAGTCATCAAGGCAGCTGGACTGGACAATATACCGGTAAGGTTTTTGAGAGATGCTGAAGTGGAGCTTTCTCCATCAACAACATGTTTCATTAATATAAATCGATCACAGATGGTACTGTCCCTGCCTTGTGGAAGGTCACTCGTGTAACGCCTCTGTATAAAACTGAAGATAATCTTTTGGTGGAAAACTATAGGCCTATTTCTTTGTTGCCAGTACTAAGCAAAGTATTGGAAAGAGTGGTACACACACAAACGAGCGCTTATTTAGATCAGTTAGGCTTGTTATACAAACATCAGTACGGTTTTACACGTGGTCGCAATACGGTACAAGCGGTGGGCCATTGGAATAATACTGTGCTTGATGCCAATGACGGAGAAAAAGTCATAAACCATAAGTCGCAATTTAATGACTTTTGACCTCAGATGAAAGGGGTCGGGCTTGCGTTTGACCGTATACGGACTCGTTGGTGACATGGTCATGGCGACTGATGCCCAACATAACCCGAAGGCAGTTAAGTTGGAAAGTGTTGAGCTTGTCACACAGTGATTCAGTTAAAGTCCATGTTTCCGACCCATAAAGAAGAACACTCAAAACGGTACACTTGTAAAGGCGAACCTTGATAGCAATTGGCAGGTTAGACTTCTAAATACGCTCTAATCTCCAAAAGGCATCCCATGCTTGACCTTGTCGTTCCTTGACATCGTTCTCAGTGGTGGCAATGTAAGAACCGAGGTAGTTAAAGTCATCTACAAAATCAAGGTCGATGCTGTTTGCTCGCAGAGTGGAGATGACCTTGGTCGATTATGAACCAAAATTTTGGTTTTGGTGGCATTGTCATGGAACCAACATTTGCAGCAGCTAAGACACGTCGATCGAAGAATTGTTGAGCGTCTCCAATACTTAATAGTAGCAAAACAATGTCATCTGCATAGCCAAGATTACTCAGCTTATATTCTGGATGTCTTCGAGACTGTCTAGGAATCATGGCGAACCCAGGATTGTCAACGGTAGCCTGGTGCATAACCCAGTCCAGAACGATTGCAAATAGGAAGGGTGCTAAAGCGTCGCCTTGAAATACTCCATCAAATGACTTCAAATGATTTAGAGACACTGCCACCAACTACAACGGAACTCTTAGTGTTGTCGTAAGGTAATCCAATGCAATGACTATCTTTTCCGGGATGCGATAAGAGCAAAGGATCTGCAGCGCTTTACTCCTGGTAATGCTATCAAAGGCTTTCTTGAAGTCCACGAAGACAAGGACGAGGGGGCGGTTGAACACTGTCGAGCCTTCGATAACACGACGAAGAATATAATATATATTGATAATGCCAGCGGTGGCACTTTCATTAAAGAAGATTAGTGCAGAAGACTTGGTGTTGAGGGCAGTGAAACCAAACTTTATCTCACTGCTATGCATGGTACCCAAGATATGGATACTAAAGCGGAAGATGGACTAATGGCTTCCCACTTTCAAGGAAAGGAGGTTATCGTACCCCTACCGAGAACCTACGTCAGACAACGGACTCCAGCAGATCGTGATGGTCCTTGGCCCGAAAAACTGCAAGGATGGTCCCATTTGCAGATAATAAACAAAAACCACGTACCTCCTTACAATCATTTCTGATCGAACTAAATTGCCCAAGTGCAGTGCGACCAAGAGACATTGTTTGCGGAAATGAGAATGAACCCTATGCAGTGCGATCACTACTGGGATGGCACGTTAACGGTCCTTTTAGTCACAAGAGCAGTAAACAAGTACATTGTAACCATATTCAGATCCTTTAGAGTAACACGGAGGACAAAGTGAATCGGTATATCGTTGCTAAGATAGAGATTAAGGAGCGGCTATCCCGTGAAGTGGTTTCTCGAATGTTTGAGGTGGACTTTGCCGAAAGAGAATACGGATTATCAAGAGAAGACCGTCACTTCCTAAAGATTGTAGAAGATGGAATCTATCAAAGAGATGACGTGCATTTCGAGATGCCTCGGCCTTTTAGAGAAAAGAATGTCCAGCTACCCAATAACCGTCCTCAAACAAAGCAATGCCCGCACGGCCTTAAGAAGAGACTTCAAGGTGACGCAAATTATTGCGCTGACTACGTCAGATTTACGACTGAAATCACAGAGAAGGAACATGCTCAAAAGGTCAAAGAAGAAGAGCTACCCTCATCACGAAGGAACGGTCTAAAACTTACCTCACCACGGGCTTAACCACCCCAAATACCTGGCAGCGTACGCGTTTTTGATTTTTCAGCTTGTTGTCAGGGTGAATCGCTCAATGGCCACCAATTGGAAGGGTGTGATCTAACAAGCAAGCTCACTGGGGTGGTTACAAGATTTAGAAAGGACAGAGTAGCTTTCATGGCGGCCATAGATGAATGTTTTTTCAAGTCAAGGTTCCAAAGAAAAATCAGAACTTCCTTCGCTTCTTATGGTGGCCGAATGTTGATTCAACTAAAGAACCTCAAGAGTACTGCATTGTTAAAGAATGTAAAAACGCAATTTTGAACGTAAAAATATACCGTTGGAAATTTAAGATAAGAAGGTATTAGGTCAGCAATCAGTTTTCTAAACAGTAACAACCGTGCTCAAATTAGTTTAATTGTAACGTTTTAGTGTTAATAGAAATTGTACCTTTTTCAAAGATTATGTTAACGAAGAAAATTGTTCCAAAACTCTCATGTCGCCGTAACCGGACGCTTGCGGATCTAAACTTTTATTTCATAAAGAGTCTTTTGTAAAGGATATTTTCGTTAACTTTCGACTATATCAATTCTTTTTGATTTTTTTAATCATGACCTTTTCAGTCAATCTTCTCTTTACCTTGAGCCGCTCACACCTCTTAAAGTAATCAAAAAGTCGATAATGAAAAAGTATTGTAATCATCTTTCCTAGGTGAGAAATAATTTCTATCTTGTACAGTTTTATTAAGCGTGTTACCTTGTGAAAAGCTGCCTTGCTCTCGGATAAAGCCCGCCTTTTTTCATATTTAATTTGTTTACTACTCGACAGTCATCCTGGCGTCGACGCCATATGTGGGTTGAGTTTGTTGTTGGTTCTCTCCCTTGCTCCGAGAGGATTTTCCCCGGGTACTCCGGTTTTCCCCTCTCCTTAAAAACCAACACTTCCAAATTCCAATTCGATCTGGAACGCAAGGACACTTTTCAACGAGTTCTTATGAACTCCTTAGTGCTCCGTGGGTAAACAAATTACAATTTACAATTTTACAATTTACAAAATTACAATTTACAATTTACAAATTTACTACTAGAAGTAAATATTGTACTCGGTCGAAATGTTTGGTTGCAATTTTAAGGTATTTTTACTAAACTTGTGATAGAAATTTTATGACCAAAATGATGCTTTAATTTTTCCTTCAAGTCTGGCGTTGTGTTCGTAAGAAGCAGTTAAGTTCTAGTTTTGAAAATCTACGAAATGCGTTAACTTTGTGATGACGCATCGTCAGGTCGCAGCTGTCTTCTCGAAATTCAAGAACTGAATTTGAATGACAGTTCGCACCTAAAACTGTGGACTTGGCTGTTTCTCCATTAAAGCAGAACGGTAGAAGGACAAGCCATACACCGATAGGAGTATACTAGCAACTATAAGGTCGACCTTTCATCCTCTAGGGCTGATCGCACCCGTCGTCCATGGTGGAAAGCTGATAATTAAAGAGATCTATCATGGAAAAGACTGGGAAAAGCCAATCGAGGAAGACTTTCTTGCCAAGTGGGAAAGATGGAGAAGTCAGTTACAGCTACTAGAGCAGCTGAACATCCCAAGAAACTTTCAGCCTCCTGATTATGAAAGCATTGCCACTGCTCAGCTGCATAATATGTCAGATGCGTCGCAAGTCGCATACGGACAATGTTCTCATCTCAGACTGGTTGATGAAAACGGAAGAATGCTTTGTTCTCTCGTTATGGGATAAGCTCATGTAGCACCGTTTAAGAAAGTCACTATTCCAAGACTTGAACTAACTCCTGCTATCGTTTCAGAATAGAGTTTGTATGCCGAAAGAAAAGTTATAGCTATATGATTGACTTCAAGACTTCTACTGGACCGATAGTAAGGTTGTTCTCAGGTTCTTCAACAATGAGTACCGAAGATTCCAAGTGTATGTTGCAAATAGAGTGCAGTTCCTCCGTGACCACACTTCATCAGACCAGTAGCTTTACTTGGAGGCTGGATCCAGCCCAGAAAATGAAGCATCAGGTGGATGAACGCTTAGGAGTTTATGCAGAAGCCGCAGTGGATTAAGGGCCCAGATTTCTTGCAGCAGACAGGTCGCTGGCCTTAACAAGACTCGTACGAAAATGAGGTTGATCACAATGCTTCTGACAGTGCGACAGTGAAGAACACGAAAACATTTTAAGCAGTTTCGGAAGGTTCTCCAAGAGGCAAGCCTTAAGGCCGTAGTTGCCATTTGTATGGAATACAAAAGACGTCTTAAGATGAGAGTCAGTATAGCAGACAAGAGACCTCTAGTTGTTGACGGTCCGTAAGTTAATGGACGGAGCAGTGAATGTGAGAGTTACCCGGCTACTCCAGAGACCTCGAATAAGCAAACACAGAAATTCCCAAGATCGTGCAATTATTTCGATAAAGAAATCAGGACTCTGATAGATTCCAAACCCAAACCGAAAGGTGCGCCTAAAGATCGTCAGCATGATAAGGAGAAGAAAACAGTTTTGAAGAAAAGTAGCAACCTTAACGCCCTTGACTCGTACCTGGATGCCAACGGATTGTTGAGAGTTAGAGAACAGATAAAGAAGGCTAACCTCTCAGACAGTCTTAAAAACTCTGTCATCGTACCGAAGACTGGTCATATTACAGAGCTGGTCCTCCGCCACGCCTATGAGAAAACTCACCACAGTAGAAGAGGCGTCACCTTAAACGAACTTCGTTCAAGTGGCCACCGGAATATCAATGAGAATGCTGCAGTCAGAGACTTCATATCAAGGTGTGTTACGTGTCGATATCACCGTGGTATTTTTGGAGAATAGAAAATGGCCAACCTCCCAGGTTTTCATATTGTGCCGTGGACTATTCCGGTCTATGGTATATTAAAGAAAAGGGAGGAAGTTGAAGGGTATACGGAGCCTTGTTTACTTGTTTCGCTAGTCGTGCGATACATATCGAAGTAGCTCACTCCATGGAAACAGATTCATTCTTACAAGCATGACAGCACTTTTTCTGTCCTAGAAGACCCATAAGACAATTTCGCAGTGACAAAGGGACTAATTTTAGGTGGGGCCGAAAACGAGTTAAAGGCGGCGTTTCAGGAAATAGATGGTGAGAAAATTAAAGCAGAGTTGCTTTAAAGGAGTGCATTGATTGGATCAGAAACCCTGCTACAGCAAGTAATTTCAGAGGTGTTGAGAACATTATGGCAGCACTTATGAAGGAGCATGGTCACAGCTTAAACGATGGATCATTGAGAAGCTGAAGCTGTTGTCAATAGTCATCTTCTGACTACCGAGACCTTAAGTAACCCGCTCTCACCATTGTGAGTCTGCAGTAAAACCAAGCTTATTCTCCCACCTCTAGGAAAGTTTCAACGAAAGGATACTTACAGCATACGTCGCTGCAGGCTCGTACATCATATTGCGTACGAATTCTGGAATAGATGGAGTAAAGAATACCTGCAGAGCCTACAGTTGAAATAAAAGTGGACACATAAGAGAAGAAACTTCACGGAAGGCGACATTGTTCCATTAAATGACAGCAAATTCTTGTACGAAGAAGTGGCCCATGGCTAGAGTGCTTACAACACATCGTGATGATGAAGACCAAGTCAGACCGGGAATCCCCGACGAGCAACCTCAGGAACTGTTACGTGTCAGAATCATGATACCTACAACCCTTAGCAATTCTATTATTTAAAACGAGTTAGGGTAAGACTTTTTTTGGTTAAAATGACGAACATTTTAGGGGAGCCATGTAAATGATAGACTTCTGTGTTAGATTTCCAGTGCACTAGCCCCCAGTCCGTGCGATAAAACCTCGAAATACGTGTGGTTTTTATCGCTTCGATATTTTCGCCCTTTTTTCGCATAAAGAACGTTTAATTGGACTCACGAATCAAAGGAATTGAACATTACGGTGTCATTATGAATATTGCAGCCCTTTTCAAGGTTTCGAACACGGACACTTGCTTGATTTCTTATAGGGCATTGTATTCTAACAGTGTGTTTGCGTAGTTGATATGATCGAAATTCTTTCTTTAAAACATATATGAAAGTAATATAGCGATATATGGTAGGACTGTTTTAGCTTTCCTTTTCATGTAAGAAAAAGAGGTGAGATCTTAGCTTGCAAACACTGTTATGACTTCTACAAGTCAGAATTATCTTGCATTATAGTTTCCGATTCTGGGAGTTATTATAACTGCCGATTTGTGTCAAAAATTAGTCTTGATATTCGTTTAAAATTTATTAGATTGTTTAATAGCTGCACCTTAAAAACTCGGAGATTTTAATTAAACGAGTTTGATGTAATGACCATTTAAGTCCGAACCATGCTGTGAGTAAAAAGTCATACTGCAAAGTATTTATAACGTCGTATCAACGTCTCTTACAGAAAGATGGGTATTTGATTAAAGCCTTAGCGAGACTATAAGTCAAGAGAATTCCTGATAATTCTCAAGAGGTTTCATTGAATTACCTTGTCAAAATGATATTCACATTATTCTCGAGAATTCCAAAGTGTAACATTCTTGTAGACGAGCCCTTGAAATTTCCGGGAATTGGCGGGAATATCCGAGAATTTATTGACATCGCAAGTTTTCTCAAGAATTATAAGAAGTTCTTGAGATTTGCCCTGTTCCCGAGAATTCTTGGGAATCATTTCGCACGGGAATAACGGTAACTACACAAGAGCAAGTGCACGAGTGACCCGCAATACTTTTACAGCTAGAGTTATTCTGACCTCGATCCAGTGAAAACACAGGATGTATCCACCTTCTAACCTAGAAGCAAACCCAAGGAATTAAAATTCTTTACAATGTCACAAACCATAGCCATGGTTTCAGGAGGGTGCGTCCTTTAACGTTACACATATCGTTTTAAAAGTGCGGTTCTGTTTTTAGGTAGTCGATTTTATGTTCTGGTTAACCTGAGCCTTAACGTGTATCCACAGTTCCTCTTTACTTTCTTTATTAAAAGCAGTTTTTGTTAAATAATACAGTTAATATTACAGCAAAAACGAATTTCCTTTTTCTACTTGTAGATCTAGAAATGTATGCGAAGAAAGCATTCGAGGATTTCTCAGAAATTCCGGCGGAGTCAAGTTTGTGGCAGAATATCAGTTTTTGTTCCGATGTTCTAGAGGGAGCTTGGTACCAGCTCTACGATGACCAGAAAAAGCCTAAAAGGAATCAGAAAGTCAAAGACCTAATCCGTGGTACTATTGACAACTTCCACAGCACACTTGTCACTCAAAGTAAGGTTTGCGTTACAGTTGCTGTTTTTGGGCCACCTGGGACGGGTAAAAGTTTTCTTCTAAACCATCTTTTAACTGGTAAAGGTATCATGCAAAATGGGCCCCTACTTTCCGCTATGGGAAAAAACCAGACACTCCTCCCCATTTATGTAACATACGGTAGGAATGTCGAGGTGTTGTTACACAAAAAGAAACCAAATGCAAACCCAGGTATACTTCTTCAGAAAAAGGAACTAGGAGAAGGCACCCTGGCTCAGGTAAGGGAGATTCTTGAAAAGCAATTTCAGGACGAAGAAGGCTTAAGTGATGCGAGATACATAGAGGTTCGAGGGCCATTTAAAGTGTTCGATCAGTTGGGGGAGAGCAAGGTAACACCCTCGCCACTTTCCATGGACGTTGATGTAAATTTCGTAGATGTACCTGGACTTGGTGATGAAACGGGGGACAAGTATATCAGTGAGGCACTAGGTAAGGCTGATATAGTGCTGTTTTTTAGCAGTGGGCAATCCGAGAGACCAGTTTCAGCAGAAGATATCGCACCGATATTTCGAAGGCGTGAAAATTTTGAGTTTACGTCCCGCCCAAAACTCGTCCACATTGTTAATGATAAAACAACACCCGCTTCGTCCCTCTCAGCAACGTTTGATTGTTTGTTCCAGAAGAAGGAAGAAGAACTCAAGAAAGCATGGAAGCACCTTCTTCATAACATCGATAAGAGCGAGGAAAAGCCTAATATTTACAAAGAGGTTCGAGAAAACCTTCCCCCGTTCTATGCGGAACATCTGCTTAAAACATTGTCTAGTGAGAGTAAAGTTATCTATTTTCATGTTGACAATGCCAAGTTTCTTAAATCCTTGAAGGATGTGATCTGTGAACACGTTCAAAGTGTGAAAAGTAAGGAAACCATCCACAAGTTTTTAAAGAACGTACACTGGGTTGCCAAAAAGCTCCAATGTGGAATAGTGCAGAGGCTTTCCGTTGTCAAAAGGAAAGAGATATGCGTAAAACCTATTGAAACTGCAGAGGCAAATTTTGTATTTCGTTCGGAAATGTATGAGCTAGAGGCCAATGATCTCATCGATTCGTTCCTTGGCAAAGAGATGGACCGACTATTGGAATTAGATGCAGATAGTCTAAACAACTCCCTTTTCCAAAACTTTGTGCTTTCTAAGGTTACTCGGACCTTTCTTCTTAAAGTGCTACGAAAATCACTGAAAATGTATGCAGTTGACCTGATTGAGGCCTACCAGAACAAAAACGTCTCTCTGCTGAACGGGGAACCAGTAATTGACAATGGTGAGTTAGCTAAAGCGATGTGCCTTAGCGAAGTGAAACGCTTTTGTGATAGCACTGCACCAGCCTACTTGCTTCACTTTTTACAACTAAAGAGTAAACGGATCTCATTGCCACAAAAAAAAACTTCGCATTGGGAGGGTACAAGTCTTGAAGATAAGCCTGACCTAATCCATGAATACCTTGACGCTCTTCTTTTCCGTGCCAAAGCTGCCCTTATGACGTACAACACTCGTGAAGCGAAATATAAAATGTCTCATTTTCATTTAATGGGAAGGCTCAAAGATGTTGCTGAGACAATGCTTACTACCAGATCTTCTCAAGATGCACGCAGGGCAGTATGTTTGAAGTCAATGAAAATAAAGTTGCCGATTGTAATTAAATTCTGCCATAAATCTATTCGTGATATTGATCCACACCCCAAATTAAATGGCCAGATTGACTTCGCGTTTCCCAAGCAAATGGTGAATACCAAGGAAGACTACAAAGTTCCATCAGAGTCTAACCATAAAAAAATAATAGAGGAAATGGTGAAGCTTCTGAGAAATCCTAAAAAGCCTGTCTTAAAAGAAATTGCAACCAAGCTGAAGATGACGGGTGCTAGCGCTTTAGAACTTCGAGAGTCCCAGAAAGTAGATCCGCTTCATTGGGCAACAGTTTTGGTTAATGTTCTCAGCGACAAAAGTCATTTTAGTATTCCCCTTGAGCCTGATTTAATCTTGCCATGCGACAATACAGAGGTCAAGAAGCAGCTAGATTTGGCCAGGAAACGTCTATTTGCTCATGAGAAATCAACTCTTTCTTGTAAGCTAATTACTGACCAGAATTTGACCAAAAATGAAATTCATGTGAACAGGAATCTTCAAGAATGGTGTCTTGAGGTATCAATGTCCCCAACTACGTGTCAGACCCTTGATAGCATTCGAACGGAATTTAAAGATCCTTCACAACACTTGGCACCAATATTCATGCCCACAATCCGGCCTGGGCCGAGGGAAGATATTCGAGGAAACTACTTTCTTGAGGAAGACCCATGGAGTAAAATCTCAGGAGATGGTACAAGACTAGAAGAAGAGAGTGACAGGGAAGACGAGGAAATAAAAAAGGAAGCGAATGAAAGCACTGTTGTTCGCCAAAATATTTTTCTCGTTGTGGAAAAAAAACACCTAATTACTTTGCAGAACACGTTAGATGTCCTTGGGCATCCGAAGGGAAGCAAAATCAGGCTGATGTACGTTGTTTTGCCTCAAAACGGGAGAGGAATTGGCGTCACGAGGGCAATCATCAAGATTTTAGCCGAGTTCTTTAATTTTTGGATTTACTGGACCATTGATGACGATATCCAGTTTATGTATCACTTTAATCAAAATGATCGCAAGTGGTATAAATGCTCCATCAACAGTGGCCTACTTTTTGGACAGCGGGTTTTTCAGACTTGTTTGCAGAAGACTACAAAGGACCTCTCAACAAAAGAGAAATTTAAACTTTTTACTAAGGTAACGAAAAGGTGGCCAGACTATCTCGACGATTTAAAAGGAACGGTGAATTCTCTTTTAATGGATAACAATTCTTTTCGAGAAGTCCAAAACAACCCATCCCTTTTGCATCAGCCATTTTCAAGCATCCCTGAAGGCATTGGCGGTGATAAAGAAAAAGAAGACGCATTTAAGCAGTACGAAGAAGACTTTGTTGAGGAATGTAAAAAGAGTTTGTTTGAAGACGCTATCAATCACATAGCAGGTGTTTCCCTTGCCCATATATCCACCAGGAAAGCCGACTACATGAGCAAATATCCCTACGCCGACTACATGCCCAGCGAACAGCGATACCAGGTAGTTCTGAACAATACATGTGCTCTTAAGGGAAAAAACTTTGTCACAGATGGGGTGATATTTGATGAAGAAGAAGATCAAGTGACGAAGGATGACAAACGAAATACGCCTTACTGGGGTATAAGGGGTGAAGATAAGTCTTTCACTCGTGCACTCAAAGTCAGTGGTGTGATTGGCTATCAAGTGATTCGAATAAATCACAGCCAAAAGAAGTTAAGGAATGTTTTCGACCGGGTGGGTCCCTCTTACATCGGATCTGCGTCGCCATACAGATCTGAAGATGAGGAAGAGAACGAAGAAGAAGATTACTGAAACGTATTCACACTTTGTATCGGTATTTTGGAACAAGAGCCATGTGTATTTAACTTTGTAAATGATATGGGTAGTATTTCAATATAAAGAAATAAAGAAAAGCTGATCGAGCAAATTAATTGAACTAGAGTGTCTCGTTTGTATATATTTTTTTTTACGTTCTGTAGTTTTTGATTGGTTCATATTTTCATTTTTTATTGAATTTTTTTCAGTTGAGCGTTCCATGTTGTAACTAAATCCAGCTTTGTAATGACCTACTTTGTACCGGGTGTAAATTAATAGTTTACTATCTATAAAATTGGGTAATAGAATTCCCTTATTTTCATTGTTGGGAGTGTTTAAAAAACGGGTTCTTTCAGCGTAAAAGGGAATTAAAGACCTTATACGTTTTTTGGAATGACAGAGGCACCCAACTAGAAAATAGTTCAAAACCACTTACACATAGCATTGTTAAACGTATTTTAGTATTTAAACGGTAGATATAGGCGTATTTTCATCCCCTAAAAATTTTTGATCTGTTCGGATTTCCTAGCTGAAAGTCTAGTGATCCGAAAACTATAGGGATCAAAGCTTGCCTTTTCGAAAATTTCAGCCAGAAAAAAGGCTCTCGAAAATTCTAGATGACCTTTCTAGGGTAAAAATCCGTTAAAAATGGGCAATTATACAATTTTTTACATGTTCGAAAATCCTAGGAGAGGCAGGCAAGCAAGAAATTTCACAACAAATGTTCCGAAAAATCTAGATCTTAAGTCGTCTTCCGAACAGATGACGGACGTTGGGTGCCCCTGGGATGGGTGATGACGTTGGGTGCCCCTGGGATGAAACTAGCTTGTTCGTTCTCTAAAATCGATCGTTACTGGATAGAGCAACTGTGAATGATGATGATCGTACAATTGGAGAAAACTTAGTCTCAGTCTCATGTGGCCTATAACAGTATTTGTTAATTTTGATGCCTAAAAAATTGTAAGGACAAATGTTATGTCTATCTTACCTTAAAAAAGTGTTGGGGAAAATAAGCCCTTCAGTAAACCAACGTGGGAAGAGTACCTCGTCTAAACTGGTACATGTAAGTGGAACAAGTTAACGGGAGAATTAATAATAAAGATGATGTTAATTAATGGAAGTTATTAAGTTAATTTAAACGTACAGTCAAAACGCCCTTATGACACCCTCGAGAAGACGAAAAAGTGGCCGCAGCTGGAGATAGCCCCTGATAGGAATTTCTCATGTAAGCGGAGAGGTCAAATGCGATCAAAAGGCGGCCGTAAGAGGAACTGTTTGCAAACGAGAGTGTCCAGAGAGCTTTGACTGTATTGCTTGGGTTTTGAGCTGGGGGTATTAGAACTTTGTACAAGTAAAGAAACGTTAGTTTTTAGTAAATTTTTATCGCACTTTTTCTGAACGATCCTAAGGCCCTTACTGTCGAAAATCACATAGAAATTAGATGACCTAGATATAAGAAGTATGGATACGACACAAAATTGAAAATTCTTTGAAATAAGTAGGTTCGTTAAGTCCTCTCATCAGGCCAAGTGCCCGTGAACTATCTTTTTCATGCTCACTTTAAGGTGGCGGATTTTCAACACTTAAAAACTGTAGTTTGCAGTGACAAAAAGTGCGGTAGCCTAGTTTCGAACCATGATCGTTAGAAAACGTTCTCCTTACATTTAAAACGTTTATTGCCTAAAAGAGGCACCGGTGTTCCTTGATCACCCAAGTACCATCACTATACTGATAGTCCTCTTAGCTCGTATAATTAAATATATTTTTTATTTGGTTTTCCCAGTGTTAGTCATGTGATGTTAATGAAGAGAAGTGAATCTGCTTTCAAATGTCAACTGATTTATGAGCGTGTACACACATAATTTTTGACAAGACAAAAGGCCAAAATTGTTTGTTTCTTGGTGTTGCGGAAACTATTATTGGTTCACTTTGTTTTGTAATACGGTATTTGTTAATCGCATCTGTCCACAGCACCAAGAAACGGCCCAAAAAGCTCCCTCATGAGAACATTACATGACCCACATTGGAAAAACGGGATCCGCCGTCTTGAAGTTGGTTAAATCTGGATGGACAAGTTAATGAGATATACACCGTGCGTTGAACAATACTGAGAGCGCATTGTTGTTACAAAGGACTATTAAAAAGTAAATAAATAATAATAATAATAAAAAAATAGCAAAAATATAAAACAACAAAAAACATCTCTTTGATCCAAAAAGTCAGATTTTTCTTGATCGTACCATACTAGGGAGAAGTAGTTTTTCAATTTTATATTTGGCCTTTCTTTTATTTGCACTTAATGTTTTTAAACATTTTATGAAAAAGATGTATACACCCCATAAAGTTACTTATAAAGTTAAAACGTGATTCCTTTTTCAGCAACTTGGGTTATGTTTACCGTTTATGGTTTATCGAGAACAATGGATTGGTAGAATTTAGTGTCTGCCACATGGCTAATAAATGTTCTAGAGTCTATTTTTATCTGACTATATTGTTTTAATTCTTAACTTATTTTTATAATGAATGTATTGATACTTAACTAGTAAAACTTTGCATTGATGTAAAAGTAAGTTAAAGCTAAAGTAAATAGTTTGATAGCTATTGTAATGCAATGTAATAATCATTAAGTAGAAACTATTATTGAGGTTTCGTGTAGTTAAACGTTTTTTGCAATTAAAATTTGTATTTTTTTATCCTTTGAGTACATTGCAAATCCTCTTGGAATTAACACTCCTGGCGGGTTATTTTATCGTTCGTTTCATTACAATCACTTTGTTATTGATAGCGACGTTTCTATCACTTACCGCCGGTACTCATCAGGTAATAGGGAAATTAAGATAGAGACGTTTTCGGGGCGACGGCGACCGGACTGGCAGAGCAGGCCTGGAACAGAGGCAGCCGTCGCTTCCCTCCAAACTTCGAACATTGAGGTCGCAGTGAACTCAAGGGGAAGGCGGCTTGGAGGACTACCGAAGAGGAAAATATGGCTTCACATAAAGAATTAAGAGAATTAATGCCGCTTATTTGCTTGCATGCAACAACAATTAACAACAATAACAACAGCAACTTTATTTCAGTATTCCCACGTTAGTACGTGCTATTACCTACTATTCTAAACAATTTTCAATACGTTTCATTTATAGGATACTCCAACGAAAAAGGTGAACTAAAAACACAATTAAAATATCGGAGTTCAAACTTTTTGTCTGGATACTTTCATTTGCCTCGTAGGACAATTTTGTCCACGTAAAGCTAATTTACGGTTTGCTGTTTGCCATATTGTATCAGACTGGATCTTGACTTTGTGACATGAAACATAGAAACATTATAAAGATGTAAGTTTAGAAAACAGAGCTTGGAAATCGAGCTTGAAATGTGACTCAAAGAAAACAAGGACAATTTAAGAACGATAATCTGCAAAATTCTAGTTGCTAAACGCAACAAACCTGATTGAAATGAAAGTTAAATACCCACGCTCTCGCCACAACGCCAAACAGACCAGTTTCACGTCGCCGACGGGAGCACGACGGCAATGTGGTGAGCAAGAGCATGCGCAATATTGCGCAAATCATGACGTCACGTCCGGTTGAAGTTGCTGTCGCCCCGAAAACGTCTCCATCTTAAGTTCCCAAATGTTATCGACGTCACGGGCTGTACAAATCTAAAAGTAGTACCGTGGTGAGTGGTGAATTTCGATCCTCAGGTTTAACTCGGTTGGTAAAGCGCTGCCCTCCAAACCGCGAGATCTTCTTGTACTGGCTAGGCATAAATAGGTTGTATTCGGCAACTTTTGAGCAACTTTTAGCGTTTTCAGCAACTTTTTGTACTGCGAGCAACATAGAGGAACTTTTTCCTTCCTTGGCAACTTTTGAGTCAACAAATAGTTAAAAACTGACCAAGCCATCAAAAAGGTCTTTATTAAATGGTTTTTATTAAAACTGGTCAAAACTAAGGATGTCGTACGTTCTTACAAATAATTTCTAAAATAATAGGTGCGCCCACGAACTGCACAGCAGCTAACTATCTAACGGGCGCTTACATCCAGTGGTTATTCGCTCCGACAATAGAGCTTCCCGCCCGCCATCTTGGTATTTGCTGCAGTGCGAGGCATCACAATTAAAAAAATAATAATGACAATTAAAATTAAAAAATTAAATTAATAAAGTTAAAAATTAAAAAAATTGATCACACCAAATGATGTTAAATTACAAATACAACGTCATGTTTTGAGTAGTAAACTAGGACAAAATGACTCTCAAAAGTAAGCAACTTTTAACTGGGAGAATTTTTTAGCAACTTTAGTGCAACTTTTGGGTGTATTGTCAAGCAACTTTTGCTGGATTTACTAGCACAATCTAATCATGCCTGGTAGTGGCTCAGTTGACTATCTTTGAATGGAGTTCCCGTCTCCTCTAGGAGACGTAAAACAGTGTCTTCAGTAGCACATGCTGCCATTGGTATATCAGTTCCGGAAGCAGCTTTGCCCGCTATCTAACAACGTGGCAGCCAATTGCTGAGGAAACAGTTTCTAGGAGACAATATCAGGATCGAAATACGCTTGAAATGCACCTGTTATTGATTGTATTGACACAAACAAACCTGTCATACACAAACGAAGATGAATAATATCTTTAACTATATACTAAAACAGTGGACGTTCCATCAGACGCTGACACCATCCGGCTCAAGGACCTGTTGAACTCTATGGGTCTGGTGCAGCATGTCAAACGAACCACGCACATACATGGCCACACCTTAGACTTAATTATCACACGGCAGGCTGACGATATTGTGGACGGTGAGCCCCTTCCTGAGAGATATTTCTCTGACCATGCTGCCGTGATATGTAAGCTAAGTGTGGCGAAGCCTCCGCTAAGAATTAAACATGCTGAATACAGGAAACTCAAATCAATTGATATAACTAAACTGAAAGAAGATATCCTCAATTCTCAGCTATATCAAGACCCGCCTAATGATTTGAACATGCTGCTCGACTGTTATAACACGACTTTAAGATCACTATTAGGTGATCACACGCCCGTTTGTTCTCGTCATGTCTCCACTCGACGCAGGCCCCCATGGTTCAATGAAGACATAATTCAGGCTCGTAGGGATAGAAGGAAGGCCGAGAGAAGACGGAGGGCAAGTGGTCTCCAAGCAGATGTTGTAGTATTTAAAGCTAAGCGAAATTATGTCATACATTTGATGAATGAAGCTAGATGTACTTATTACAAGGAATTCATTGACGACAGCAGTTCGGACCAATCAAAGCTGTTCCGGGTTAGAAAGAGCCTACTAAATCTGCAAGCGGACAAGTCTCTCCCACCTCACACTGACGCCTCTGTTCTTGCAAATGAGATGGGTGAATAGTTCATCCATAAAATAGTGGCTATTAGATCAAAGCTAGCTGCTGACACGGTCTCTCCTGCGGTTACTGAGCGGGCGCCTCACGGTTCATCGAGTAGTGATCACCTTGTCACGCTATCATAGTTTCAGCCTCTCTCCGAAGAGGCTGTAAGGAAGATGGCTGTGGCTTCTATGAGGACATGTACTCTAAACCCTCTTCCATCATCCATCTTGTTGGTTTGAATAGAGGAGTTACTTCCAGTGATTAGTAGGATGGTGAACGTATCACTAGAGCATGGTTACTTTGCAGATGACTGGAAAAGGGCAGTAGTACATCCTCTGCTCAAAAAATCTGGTCTTCAGTTGATAAACAAGAACTTTCGGCCTGTGAGTAATTTACAGTTCACGTCCAAACTCACAGAGAAAACGGTTGCAGTACAATTACAGGAGCACATGCTAGTCAATGGCCTGTTTCCAGAATTGCAAAGTGCTTACCGCCAACATCATAGCACTGAGACCGCACTACTCAAGGTGAGGAATGATCTCCTAATGGCGATGGATAAGGGTCAAGTTACGCTGCTGGTGCTTCTCGACTTAAGCTCTGCATTCGACACCGTCGAACATGAGATCCTTCTGGAACGATTGAGGTCAACAATTGGATTGCGGGGGAAAGTACTTTCATGGTTTGAGAGTTATCTTAAGGGCAGATCGCAGCAAGTGACTATCAACGGAACTCTCTCAAAGCCGTTTGATTTGAAGTGTGGAGTTCCTCAAGGGTCGTGCCTGGGCCCGCTTTTATTTACCATCTACCTGAGTAAACTGTTCCAGATTCTAAAACACCATCTGCCCTCCGTTCATACTTATGCTGACGATACACAGTTGTATTTGTCATTTAAGCTTAAGCCCTCTGACTCTTCAAGTAAAGTCGAAGCTGTATCAGCCATGCAGAAGTGCATCTGCGATGTCGGAGCATGGATGAGGGAGGATCAGCTGATGCTCAGTGATGACAAGACTGAGTTCCTGATTATAGGTACTCGTCAGCAGCTCTCAAAAGTTTCAATCCAAAGCATCAAGATTGGGCAGACTGAAGTCTCTCCTGTAGCCTCTGCGCGCAATTTAGGCACATGGTTCGATACGCATCTAGATATTGGAACTCACATTACAGAGACTTGTAGCAGCGCTTTCTATTATTTATAAAATATACGTCGTATTAGGAAATATTTATCCAGAGAATCAACTGAGAAATTAGTTCAGGCTTTTATCAGTAGTAGATTGGATTATTGTAATAGCCTTCTTTATGGACTCCCGGAATATCAGACTATGAAATTGCAACGTGTTATGAATGAGAGTGTAAGACATATATCGTGCGCACAAGTTCTGTCATATAACACCTCTACTCGCAGAATTACATCGGTTACCAGTGCGCTCCAGGATACATTATAAGATTCTCTTGATAACTTTTAAAATTTTGCATGGCCTATCACCTAAGTACCTTTCAGATTTAATTAGTATTCAACAGCCTTCGTCCTACAATTTGAGGCGCAACGACAATGGTCGTTTGTTGGAAAGACCATGTGCGAAAACCAAGAAAACATTGGGGGACAGAACTTTCCAGGTAGCTGCTCCTTTCGTATGGAATAAGCTGCCAGGGTCCGCGCGCGAAGCAACGAACTAAGAATCTTTTAAGACTTTAATTAAGACATTTTTATTTAAGGAATCATTTCAGTTATCTTAGTATATCTATATCTTTATTTGTAATTATCTTTCACTCATTTAATGTAAATATATATATATATATATATATATATATATATATATATATATATATATATATATTGTGGTGCGCTTTTGTATATTTTATAGAAAAGGCGCAATACAAATAATAAATGTTATTGTTATTATTGGATAGTGTTTTTCGCACGCTCTGATTGGCTACTCAATGTTCGGATTTCCAGTGCTATTCATTGATTGACCTCCAGCTCCTCCAAGCGAGCGAAGCCAAACTCGCGTAAGTTGCGAACAACATGGTTCGAATTCTCAGTTTGCTGCCGTAACAAACAAAGAAATTTCACAAAGAATCAAACACGCTGTTCCCGAAATAGACGAGGAAGGTGACGAAATTCGGTTTGGAAGCTTTAAAAGGTAAAGCTTTGTTTGCTTGACTTGAATTTATCAATGAAACCGGTGAAAAGTCTTGCGTTAATTTATTTGGCTGACATGTTCATTAAAACTAAATTTAAAAGGTTTTTACAGAATGGTTTCAAATGCAAAAAGAATTCATAACTCCTTTCGAAGAAATTTCCCCAGAATGGCTAAGCAAAATTGGCCTTCAAAAGTTTTATTTGCCTTCGGCAAGAAAATTCGACGGCTGTTCGCTCATTTGCGCGGAAAATTGTAATCGTTGGTAGCAGTAAACGAGTTAAAAACTTCGCAGGGTGGTAAACATCCACACCACTAGCCACCTCCACGTCAGTGGATAATTGTTATTGATAACATATATAGAGGATATTACATGGCCGCGCGGAGATACGAAATTTCTCTTCGAGTGTTGAAAACTATTTCACGAGTGAGCGCAGCGAACGAGTGAAATATTTTTTCAACACGAGAAGAGAAATTTCGTATCTCCAAGCGGCCATGTAATGTTCTATTTATTATATAAACACCAATGAAATACCAAACCATTTCACTTTAATAGTTTTTTGGTGTGAAAGGCGCGATTTATTATGTAGCCATAGCAAAGGTGATACTTTCACGTGTGAAGATAACATTTTATTTTCACATGTGAAGATATCAAGTTTTCGACGAAAGGTCACCTGGTATTTCATATGTGTTTATATAATAAATAATCTTATACACTTTTGCGCAAAACAATGTTTATGTTCGTTGACTTTGTATTTTTAGAGGGAAACAGTTTGTAAGCTGCCTCTCTTTTAAGCACCCTTCCCTCCTTCTTATTATGATTCACTAATAAATGATAGACTGTATTAATTAATGACTACTGTAAAACTTCGTGTGGACTGATCCAGGATGGTTTATTCACCAGCTGGAAGATTTTATTTGCTTTTGATCCTCGGCTGCATGACCTTCAACGTGTTTTTTTAGCTTTTCATTAATGCATTCTAGTTCTTTCTGGTGAACTGATACCATCGTCTTTGCTAAATTAAATAAGCCCTCCGCTGAAATAAGCCGCAATCTCTATTTAGCCCCCCCCCCCCCCTTGAATGTGTTTTTGAAATATATAAGCCACCGGGGGGGCTAAATAGAGGATTTACATGTACGTTAACAAGTGCCACATACAAACAGTAAGCTAACAGTATCATTGATCGAAGTATATTCCAATTTTATTAAAAGGTCAGCTGAATCTCTGCCTTTCAACTGAGCTCGTCTAAAATTCGGTTTCTTCCTCATCACTGTCTTCCACACCTTGGTTATATTTCCCAAATTCTGCATGTACCTTCACCGTGCGTTCCGGTTTTCTTAGCACGGGCTGTGCTTACGTTCTTATTGTTTGTACAAAGTTCCACCTGGCATTTAGCCTTTTTCAGCTCTGTCTGGGCAGTTTTGGGGTTATCCTGGTGGAAATGATCTTCGCTGGACCTTTGTCCTAACGTCTCAATGGCCCTAGTGGTTTGGTACCCTTCTGAGGTAGCATTTCCACGACCTTCACTTGGTTTTTTATTTGTTTCGTCCTCCAAAATGTCATCCACGCCTACATTTTCCACTCCCAGAGGAATGACTTCCATGCTATCAGTGACGCCTCCAAAGCCAGAAACCTGAAATTTAAATTATAGACAATAAATGGATACTTTGGCCTGGTTGTGCTTTTTCACATCATCGCTCATTGGTTCTGTGCAGTTGTTTTATTACATGACCTTCCCAATCACAATGTGCTTAAATATAAATGTTCTCTTTACTCTTGAGGCCTGGAGTCAGAATCGCGATGGCTTAACAAGATTTAGGCTCAACTTTAAAAAGGGATTCATGACCTTTACTTCTACTCACCGGAAGTATCATTCATTAATGCCCTAAAGGACCCCAAACAAGCCGAGCCACCTCCTATCCTGCTAATAGGCAATATAGAAAGGCTAAGTGGACAATCATTTAAATTGGGACAGTGCTTCAGTTTTCATCGATAAAGTCGCACGGGCTGTGGGGAGAACTTTCCAAGGCAGGGTTTATGAGTTGTTTGGTTATTGAATTTCTTTGCTTGTCACTGTGAGTTCATATGCCTGACATCCTATCTGGCAGGTAGGTCGGAATCAATGTGCAAGGCCTTTCACTGGCCTTAATTGGTCGGATTGAAAATATCAGATATTATAGTGATGAAACATATATTATCCTTACCCCGACATCGTCTATTTGCGCCTGGTTCGTCTCCATGTCTTGATCTCCGTTGTCATCGGTCACTCCTCCATCATTTGCTCTACCACCTTGAGCCGACAGGATAACACTGACACAACACTCCCAGTTGCATTGTTGGTTTTTGTACACCCCGTATAGACTCTTACCCAACGAGAAGAAATAACGGACTTAGAGAGGACAGAAATTAACATATATTAAACACAACCACTGTACCGTAAAATGCCGAAAATAAGCCCCTCCATGTATAAGCCCCTTAAACCGGTAACGCAAACAACCCTCCGTTAAATCGCCCCTCCAAATATATGCCCCCCGAGGGCTTGTACTTGGAAAATTGCCCTCAAATACAAAGTAAAACAAAGCAAAAACAGTAAATTTACGTCCAACTATAAGGCTAGCCCAATCGGTTTGAAACGCACAGTTTCCTCCGTAGATAAACCCTCCAAAAATAAGCCCCTCAAAAAAGGGCCGTTTCACCGGCGAAAAATGTCTGCGCATGCTCTACTAAAAATGACACGTGATCGATTTCGCGTAATGTCATTGGCTCCGAGGCGAAAATGCCCGCGAAATGTTGTTCAGATGAAAGAAGCGATGGCAGCTTTTTTTGACAGTGACAGCGTTGCAATTTCTTGTCACTGTGAGAGATCAAAAATTATTTTGACGTAAGTGTGTTCTCTAGAGAAAAAAGGATCCTGAAACTGGCGAAAAATTGCATTGGCATGGTTTGATTCAGTGTTATTGACGCTGAGATCGCTGGTTTGCATGTGGAAGACATGCCGAAAAGGTGGGTAATTTTTGCTCTTTTTGTTTACTGCATGTTCCGTGAAACTCGGTACAAAAAGAAATTATAAAGTAGTGGAAGAAAAATTATTGGGCTTTGTTTTGGTATATAAATTAGCTTGTACCGAGTTGCACGGAAGCGACAGTTCTGTTAAATGTGTATCCCGTTTTTGTGTCAAAATTCGACTTTGTGAATCTAACATTCGATAACATTCGACTGTTGATCGAAAAGCGTATTACAATGCTATCAAAAATGTTTTTGTTTTTTAGATCAAGTTTCTTATCACGGATTCAACATAAAAAAGTAGAGGGACAGACATTTTTGGGCTTTGTTTTGTTAATATGACTTAGCGTGTACTTTGTTGCTGGAAAAACTATATTTAGATGCTTAATCTCCGCATGTTTACACTGTTTATTGCAGAAAAATATGCTTACGCTTGGTTCAACTTAATCTCGTGTCACTCGGTACAGAGGGAAATTATAAAGAAGGTAAAGAATTACTCTTAGCTATTGTCTTGGTGTGTAAATTGTCTTGTAGCTAGTGGATCGAAAGCTGATCATGAAGTGCGTAGTTCGAAACGTGATTTTGTCCATCGATCCACATTTCATTGTTGTTGTACATTAGTACATCTTTGTATGTTACAGAAATTTGAGTTTTATCCGAATTGTCGAATGAGTAATTGAGAGAGTGTTTTCATTAAAACGCTAGGTAGGTAACGATAGGTCAAGCAACATTTGATTTGTAAAAAATATTCTGTTTACAATGTGTACAGCTGCTGTACTTTTAGACTTGCAATGGTATAATTGAAGGTGGGAAGTTTAGATTATTTTGCTCATAAATTTTGCTTGGGATTATCCACAACGAGGTCCTTGTTACTTTCCGCGTTAGGAACTGCACTTACGGACATGATTACCCGCGTGTACAATTTTTTAGTACCAAATTTGTGCACACAAGGCTTTCTGTGGGGGGTGCTTCTTTGCTTGAAAATTGGATCCTGGAAGGAGATGAACAGGGTAATTTTCCTGTGAATGCTTTTCAGTTTTTCTGGCCATTGTTTATGGCTTAAATTGTTTTGGAGCATGAATGAAAGACAGAGTTAACATGCTACTAAGTATTTAAAAGTTCTTTCCAAGAAAAAAAATAACTAGGAGTTTAAAGTTTGGAGTAAACTTTGAGTCTTAATGAAATTTTAGTTGGATCATGTTAATGATTGCGGGTGTGTAGGATGGGCAGTTGCCAATTTTGATCTTCTGTCAGAAGTATGAGAGAACACTCACAGATCTCATTCAAACATTATAGTTTCATTGTTATTATTGTTTGTTTCTATTCCTACAAACTTCTCATCAGGTCTCCATTTTGCATGAAGTTAATGTGATATATATTTGAAGGGGTTTTTGTTTCACCATGAAGTAGTTTTCACTTTGTTTTTTGATATGAAGTTAAGTTACTTCTTAGTTGTTGGCTAAGGCAGTGTTGAAGTATCTGACATGTTAACATACTTTACTTTTCATTTCTCTTCAGAAAAGATTGACTGATCCTGAATCAAACAAAGTGCAGCCTCACAAACAAGATTTTTTTGACGAACAAATGTGTACTCAAGGAAAGCTTATGTCCCTGACATTGTCAATAAAATTTATTAATGGAAAGATCTGGGTTTTTACTCCTTTGTAGCACTTTAGACTATATGCATCACTTTTTTAGCCTTTATGTACTACAAAATAAAATATAATCAGTATTTTTTCCAACTAACACTTGAATCAAAGTTCTCTTCTTTCAAATATAGTATTCCCCTAATTTTAAAAAATTCATTATCTTATTCAGATCGAGCACAGTAACCATTGAAAAGAAAAAAGAAAAAAAACCTTGCTCGGTCAAAGACGGCTTTAAAGTTTTGATATTAAAATTGCACCCGTTCTCAATGAAAAGACTGAATGCAGACACTAAAGTTCATTTAGCTCATGTTCAAGCTTTTTTTATAAATTGGAAAGTGTGGCTGGCGGAAAGTATTTTTACTTTACCTTTTCGGTAAACGAAAAAAATAATACCTACTAGGTGTCTAAGCAATTTCAAAGGACCCATAGTGTCTTATTTATCTGCTGCATTGAGCTGTGAACAAAGGCCGTTCTTTCTAGTGACCCTGCTTTTTTCAGAAACATTGTTGTCCTTCGTGATACAAAGTTGAATCCAGTAAACCGGCCAAATCGCGAACATCGCAGGAAACGAATCCCACAGGAATAGGTGAAAAAGGATAATAAAAAGTCTAGGCTATTCTAAAAATATCCGATATGCATTTGCAACTCATATTAAGCCGCAGTTAACCTTCTTTACATTGAAATAAACAAACTATGGAGGTATTGCCGCCATTTTGAATTTGGCAAAGTCACGTGGCGCGCGTCGACCAATCAGACATTTTTCACCGGTGAACAGAAGCCTTTGCCGCCATTCCAATGTAGGTTCGTCCTTCAGCGCCGATTAACGATAAGCAGGAAGTAAGAATCAACTTTCTGATCGTCTCCACCATTTCCCTGCACCAGCAGCGTTCGTTGTAGTTCTCATAGATAATGCTCATACCTTCTATAATCTCAAACCTCTTTGGTTGTGAATTGAGGGCGCGGTTTTTGATGTGAGGACGATAGTAGAGGAAGTATAGCACAACCACAATAAACAGAGGAAAGAGGATTGGGTAAATGGAACCCACATAGGTTGCAGTCACGTATTTGTTTTAAGTCTTGTCGAAGCACTTTAAGCTGTAATCCATCTTTAGGTAGTGGGTACAGTTTTTCATATCTATATCCTGAGTTCCAATAACAGTCAGTATTAGTTGATGTCTACAGACAAGCAGTCTCTTTTAACTCAACAAGGTCACTCTTACTACAGTCGAGCCTCCATGTGCGACCACCTATCTTAAACACAAAAATTTTCCCCAGCGAAATCACTACAGTTGAACCCTTTGTAAACGACTTTAAGCGACCGCGACCACTTTTAACCTGTGATTGTTCTACAATTTTCTATTGTTTTTATACTCATAAGCTACTAAGCATAAGTCACCGAAAGCATGTAGTTTGGGGACATTGTAAGGACTGTGGACCTTTTCTATGACCAGCTGAGAAAGCAGACACGACGATCAGGTGTTTCTCAATCTGTGAACGCAAGTCGCCGTTGGTACGGGAAATACTGCTTTGCGAGTAGAGGCGAACAGACCCTAGGATCCCTGGAATCTAGTTTAGCGGTAAAATGTAACGCTCATTTCATTAAAAAAAAACAGCCAGTTAAAAAGTGATATGCATGTACGATCCTGTCGATGTAAGAATCTCAAACAAGTGTCAGGTCTGATAGGGGGGTTCCAGACCCCTCAGACCCTCCCCCTAGACCTGCTACTGTTTTGTGGACTCAAACGCGTGATTGCATGCTGACAAATGATTGGAACTACTACTATTCATACCTGGCAGATTTTGTGACATGCAGGGGGAAGCATCCAAAAGATCCTTGAACTGACGTCTGGAAACGTATAAACATGACCAGGGAGGCACTGCGATAACAGCGTTCTTTACCCAGTGAAATTGCTCGAGCCTTCTCCTCAGGCGACGTGTTGTTGTTGAGCCTCAGTGAGAAATAGAAAATGGACGATAAAAATTTTATATTGGCCTGAGAAAACGGCTAAATTTGTCAGTCAGTGTCTATTATTTTTCCTTTTAAAATCATCATCTTTACTGGTAAAATTACTTTTATCGTCCGGAGAATTATTTTAAGATCAGAAAACCATTTCCCATCATCGCCATGACTAATGTCTTCACTATCTTTCACTATTGTTATCACACCTACAATTTTCGTCATCATTATGATTTTGAGCCGTTACCATTGTCGTCGTGAACTCATGATGTAAGAAACAAATTACATGATTGTAGTGTCTATTTTTCACTGAAAAAAGAAACGTCATGCACAGTCAATGCATGCACGTTAGGTTCCCAAACAGTTTTTGATCAATTCTTATGGTTTGAACTAGAGTCAACGATGGTCATACCTTATCATGATTTTCCGGAACTGAAAATACGTAAATGCCAGTATATTTCACTTTACGATTAATTGTGGAGATATACTGACATAAACGCTCCTTCCGGTGCAGTCGCCTTATTTCGTGTTAGACATTTTTTTCATACCATGCTATTGTAAAAAAAAAAAACCAAGAAACAAGTTGGAGGGAAATGCAAAACATTTACTAACGGTTCAAAGTCCTGTTTCTTAAAATGTTACCAACTATTGGCTGCCTATCACAACAGTTATTTCAAAGGAGGTTTACCATGGAATATGTTTTCTGTCCAGGATTGAAATATGAAAAATAGGTGTCTAATTCCTTACGTGGGAGAACCCGGCTTTTGTTTTCTTGATTAGTGAATTTTACTCAGTTATATAATTGAAAAGAAGAAAAAACATAGTGCCTTAGTCTGTTCGTAAGCAAAGTCTTTGGTATGCATTTGTACTTTCTCCTACCAAGATTTTTCCTCACCTCTCATAATCTAAAAAATATACCACCTTGTATTATAGGGGGACGGAGTTGCTATAAAAGAAATAGAATCCATCAACTTTCAATCAGCATAAAATACACAAAAATAGAGATTTACAATGAAACGATTTCAGTCGAGCCCACCATATAATTTTCTTGATATTAATTGGCTAACACGCTAACAAAGTCAGTCTTTGTTGTTACCATGACCTGCGATTAGCCAGTCAATGGAGGGTCGCCCTTTTTTCTTTTCTTAGTAGATATGTAATATATAACTCAAAAGAGCAACAGCTTTTAATCGCAGCTAGCAGATATTCAGATATTGTCTTTTTTCATTTAAACGAAAAATAAGCGTCCACCAAAAATAGGCTCATCTGTCAGATTTCTCTTATAGTTGTTGAGAGTTTCCCCCTGCTGCCTATTGAAACTGTTACTTTTATTCAGTATAATAATTTGCATAATGATTTAAGCCTAACTAGACTAATAGAATAGACTGAAGCTTTTTATTTGAGATTACTTCAATTCTAGTTCGCACTTTTCACAGAAATCAGCTTCCTAAGTGCTAAGAATGTTGGACAACTGCAGGTAGAATAAGATGTCTTGTTTTGATAAATTTTTAAGGATGCTTACGTCGTTATACTGATTTATTAGTTAAAGGGAACCTCCACTCTTACTACAGAATAAGTTTAAATCGAATAAAATTACGTTGATAAACAAATTTGTTCGAAATTTGTCTTAAAAAAAGTGTTTATATCAGGAAAAGTGAATTTTAAAATCGCTTATTTTCACTTTCAAATTTCGCGGGCGCCGCCATCTTGAATAATTGTGACGTGTTACGGTTGCTCTATTGTTCTGACACAAAGAGCTTTTGTTTAATAACAATAGGGCAACCATTACACGTCACAATTATTCAAGATGGCGACGCCCGCAAAATTTGAAAACAAAAATAGGCGAATCTAAAAGTTATTTCTTTCGGATACAAACGCTTTCTTTAAAAATATTTTAGATTGACTTGACTGTAACAGTTATTTCCTGTGATTTAAAGTTATCTTTTTGTTGAAGTGGAGGTTCCCTTTAATACAAGTTGTTGTTTCTGTTTTTTTTTTGTAGTCATGGTCATTTTGGGGCTTCTAAGGAATTCCCAAATATTAAATGAGTGTTTGCAGCAAATTCCGTTTCCGTTAAGAATATGAATTTACATCCTCTTTGAAACAGCTATTCCGAATGTCAGTGACCAAGGAAGGATTTCCACTGTCGGGTAATTTTGTGCGTACGCGCGTAAATAAAATAGAGGCAATGTACAAAAGATCGCGAGTAAACATAAATGCTGAACCTCGCTCAACTTTTCCGCTGGTTTTCCTCTGACTTCACGGCAGCCGTCCGCTGTGAACTAAACTCTCTTTCATGCAAAGTCTGTAAGAAAAATTGTGGCCGCCTTGTCACGTGGTTGCAAACCGTTAACTAAATACACTGCTAACATCATGTAAGTACGACCAATGTTTGGCAATGTCAATGTGAACAAAAGAGCGCTATATCTAATTTACCAGGGGCACCCAGTGACGTTTTTCTGCAAAGAACTTTACGAAGGAGCAAATATTGCCCAGAGATTTCTAAAGCTCGAGAAAGGCTAAACCTTTTTGTATTATCTTATAAATCGGTATTCAGACATATTCCGAGTTTTGTACAGTCCCTTTTCTACAATTTTCGAGAGTTTTTCACATTTCCATTTCCAAGATATTTCGATTATAATTAAAAACTATTTACTGGAAATTTCGGTGTAAAGACAAAACGTAACGTCCTGTTGAGTCTTCTACTCAGAATGGTACGACGACTATTCCATTTCCTTGTACTTTCGACCATACTCATCAGTTTCGGATGGGACGAAAATAACATCCTAAGACTTTCGGAAGGGCCAAAGTTCCCTTGTTTCTTAGGACAGTTCCAAATTAACCAAGCAAGCTTCTAAAGCATAGAAATAAAACTATTTGAGGCAGTTCGGCTGACGAATTTGGAATCATTCAGGTGGTCGTTGGGTGCCCCGGGTGCCCCTAAATTACGCAGTTGTGTGGTAGGGTATTTGGGGGTGTTCGAGCCACTCGCCAGTCGCTTGGCGTAGAGGTACCAGGTATTTGAATTTACATCTTGGTGTTTTTAATTCTTCACTGTAGTGCATATGCTTTCTACTTCCGCGCATCACTGACTTAACGAGTACAGCTCAACTACTAACTGCACAGCACTACAACCTAACTAAAAATTTAATAAACGACACTCATATTGAAAAACTTTCAACACTTAAAGAGGTAAGAGAATTTAAGAACACGTCTATACAAATTCGGATTAACCCTCGGACCTACATGTAAAGTCATACCCCCACCGTGCTACAATGGGGGGACACCTCCCTAGAGTTTTTGATATGTTGCAGTATTACCTTCAGTCTTCTCTGCAATATTAGGCATATATTATGGGTGGTCGCGCCGCTGGATGCCTGTGACGTCACAAACATGGTCGCCATCTTGGATTTTACCAAGAATTAGGAATCTCGTAAAAACTGCCAGAAATGGTAATTTTTTGTGCTTGACATGTAAAATAACACATAAATAAGAACTTTACTTCATTTTATCCACAAGCTTTACTTTTATCGTTGAACGAAGTTGAAAAAACATGCATTTTCACTCAAAAATAGCCTGACGACCTGCTACGTATGACGTCATATCTCGCATCCATAGAAACTGATCATCACCAAACATGTCTCAAAATGCGCGGAAGGGATGAAAGAATAACTACTAAAAACATCAGGTGCTACTGTTTAATCGTCTGAGAAGAAAATCAGAAAAAACTCAGAGGGGGTGCCCCCCCCCCCTCCTGTACGTCCGAGTGTTAACCTTTAGGTACGAGTGAAACGTCAAGTGCAAAAATGCGTGACAATCAGCAAAGTGGCAAAGTGGTGTTCACGGACCCAATATTTTTAGAAGCTACAATGGCATTGTTATACACTAAAAACTGGCTAAAGCTTTCAACGAATTACTATCTACAAAAACTTAGATGAAACAGCCACCGATGTAGTTACT